TAATTTTTTCTTAGTTTGTACTATATTTTTATATAATAATAAATATTTAAAGATTAACACGTAAAAAGTAAATAGAATCCTTAGAGCAGGACAGAGGTAGTAGTAGATATTTAATATTTTTAAATACTCCTATAATTTATAAAGTTAAAATAATTTGTAAAATAGTATTATTTAAATTTTATATATTTTTAATTTTCATTTTTATATAAAATAAAAATAATATAAATATAATTAATACATAAAATTTAATAAATATATTTTCAACAAGTTTAGATAATTTAAAAATTTTAAATATAATTTATAAAATTCTAAATAAATTAGAAAATTTTAATAAAAAAATATAAATTTACATTATTAGTATGTCATATTTGGTCATTTTAACAGTTTAAAAGTACTTTCAACCTTATTATATTCAAACAGTTTTTTTTTTTTTTTACCGAACATAAAATCGAACTGCTTCTGGTTTTAGCTTATGCTTATTCTTTAAAGTCAATCCAAATGGGCCCTTATATAAATTTTTCAATAAGAATATAGGTTTTTCTACGAGTTTTGACAATTAAATGATAATTGTATTGAAAATTCTAAATCTATTGAAAATTTAAATAGCGAAAATATTGTCGATAATAATAATAATAATAATAATAATAATAATAATAATAATAATAATAATAATAATGAAACATGATTAGAGATTGATGATAGTGTTATTTCTTATTTAGATATTTATAATCCTGAAATTGGGATAATCTTGATAATATACCCAAAAAAAAAAAAATAGACCTAGAAAAGAATTAGATCTTACTTCCATTAGATAAGACTTCTAGACATTTTCCATAAGTTCATTACTCTAGAAAATTAAATAATTGGGAATTTAGTGATAGAAAATGTTTTGTTGTAAAATATTCAAGAAAAATAACAGTAAATATTTGTTGGCAAATGATGGATTTAAATATTGGAAACATATAGCCGAAAGACTTAAACAATATGAAAATAATATTTTTATCGATTTTTTCACCAAAAATGAAAAGTTTCTTCCGCTTATTATACCTACACACTCTCGGTAGAGCGGTCAGTAAACCCTTTTTCCAGAGACACGGACTCTTATTCTTGACCTAAGAGGATTTTCCTTATCCTCTCTTGCTCACTGACTAGCTAGCTTGCTCAGTGCCTGCTTGCGATAGTTGACTGAAGCCAAAACGCGGCTAGATCGATCGGTTTCGGATCAAATAGGAAGAACTAAGATGCAAGAAAAGGGGAAGGCCAATGAGTAGCAATAACTTGAAGATATAACACATATGAATACTTTGAATGAATTAAAAATAAGAATAAATAAAAATTAAACAAGTGATAAAGATTTTCAAAAAAAAATTATAAAATAAAACGAGCTTTGGAGACAAATTTTAATGAGAATAATTTATGTTGTAAAATTTGTTTCTAAACAAAATTTAGCTTTGTGAGGTTCGAATGAAAAATCTTATCAAGACAGTAATAATATTTTCTTAAGAATAATTAAAATGATTTTTGAATTTGATATAATTGTGCAAGACCATATTAGATGTATTCAAAACAATGGAATTCATTATCATTATCTTGGCCACAAAATTCAAAATAAATTAATTTTTTTATTGCCTCATAGTATTAGAAGTTCAATTATAAAAATTATTAAAGAGTCGAAATATTTTTCAATAATTCTATATTGTACCCTAGATAATAGTCACCAAGAACAAATGACTTAATTGTGCATTGTCTAAGTATTCAAATAGTAAAATTAAAATTGAAAATTATTTTTTTACAATTTTTGCAAGTAGAATATACAAATGGTATAAATTGAAAATTGCACTTGAATAGTTTGATATTAATATTGATAATATAAGAAGTCAATGTTATGAATTTATGATAATGAATTTAATACGAAAGGTAAACACCAGGGATTTCAAAAAAGATTACTTGATATAAATTCTAGAGCATTATACATGTCATGTGTTTGTCATAGTCTTAATCTTACACTTTGTGATATGACACATTCTTGTGAAAAACAGTATCATTTTTTTGGAATTGTGCAGCATATATATACATTATATTTTCAAGCTCGATAAAAAGATGGAAAATTTTGCTAGATAATATTTCAAATTTTAGTCTAAAATTATTGTCAAACACTCGTTGTGAAAGTAGAATTAAAAATGTTAAAACTATTAGATTTCAAAGTCCTCAAATTAAATTAGTTTTGTTAGATTTTATTAATTCATTCGATGATGCTAAATCAAAAAGTGAAGCCAAAAGTTTGATTGGTTCACTTGAATCCTATGAATTTTTACTTTGTATGATATTTTATTTGTTATTAATAGTGTGAGTAAAAAATTACAATATGAATTTATGAGTATTACGGCTATGAAACAAATAAAAGATGTTTTATTTTTTTTTTGAAAAATATAGTAATGAAGGATTTTGATAGTATGCATATTGCAAACAAAATTGATTTAATTATGGATATCAAATGCGTATTTCCAAGTAAACTTTATATTTTTAGAAAAAAAAATGATGATAGTAATCAAAACGAACAAGTACAATCAAAAGAAGAAAATTTTAAAATTAATTATTTTTTAGTTGCAATAGATATGACATTTACCTAATTAAATGATAGATTTATGCAATTAAAATGTTTAATAGCAGATTTGATTTTTTTGTTTAATTCATAAAAATTAAAATCTTTAGATAATAAATAGTAAGATAATGTTGTACTTTTTTATCAACTACTTTTTTCTCATAATAATATTTCTATATTGACATAGAAGAAACGATCAGTTAATTAAAAGTTTTACAAATGATTTTCCCTGATAAATTAATATCACCTATTGAAATTCTTGAATTATTGAAGCGGCTTATTTTTATCCTAATATTTCTATAATTTATCGTATTTTATTAACTGTACCGGTAACAGTAGCATCAACCGAAATAACACTTTCAAAATTAAAATTATTAAAAACTTATTTAAGAACGTGTATGTCTCAAGAAGGATTAAATGATTTGGCTATGTTGTGTACTGAAAATAAATGTTAGAAAAAATTAATATTTATACTATTATCGATGAATTTGACATCTAAAAATGCTAAAAGATATTAGTTTATTTAATTATTAATTTTTTTTTACTGTAAAAAAATTACTGTGATATATTTTTACTGTTGAGGCCCATAAATTTTAATTTTGCCCCAAACCTATGAAACCTCATGAACGGGACTGATTTTGGGTAAAATCCCGACTGAACCTAATAGCCTGGAAACTAGACATGACAAGGCAAGTCATACTAGGCGACTATGTGTGACAAGCAAGACCTGAAGTCGTCGGAAGGTTTCACGCAATAAATAAAATACGAAGTGTTTTATGTATTTTTATTAAAATGGAAGAGTGTTATATAGTAATTTATCTTTATATTTTTAGTTTAATTTAAATTAAATATAATACTAGTATTTTATCAAAAATAATAATAATTATTATAATATAATTTATAAATAATAATAAAAAAATTAAAAAAAAATACTTCATTCATCCTAACTTAATTGACATATTTTCCATTTTTGTCTATCCGGTAACACAAATCTTTCTATTTTTGGTAAAAGTTACTAAATCAAAACATAATTAACCAATATAAATCAACTTAATTAATTATATAATATATAATATCAATCATGTAGGACCTACTCAAAACTTATTTATTACTGTATCTCTCCTAAAAAAAATTAATCTACAATTATCTTAATTTAAAATTTCACATCTTTTATAAAATTAGTTTATGTTAATTATAAATAAATAAATCGTATTTTTTTTATTTACTTGTATTATAAGCAATTTTATTTTCTAAAAAATAAAATTCAGATTACATATATTTTTTTTATTGTGATATAATTTTTAAAATATTTAAATGCATATTCAAAAGTTTTTAAAATTTATATTAAATTTATTTTAAAATTATCAATATTATTAATTATATAAAAAATAATAAAATAATATTATAATTTATTATTATTAAAGAATCCGTTGCAATAATTTCCTCCACTTTATTATCTCTTTTATTTCTCTCATTTACATCATATCTATTTCAACATTCAAATATAGTAATACCTTCAACACATTACCTTTATTATTTCATAGGACCCATAATAATTTATTTATTTCTATAATTTTTATTACATAATATATATATAAATTATTTATTTATTTATACATATTTCTATATAATTTGTCTAATAATATATTTTTATAATATTATATTTTAATTTTTAAATATTAATCTATATAAATTTTAATATATTAAAATATATAATTTACTATTTTGAAATTTAAAATTATTCGAAATAAATCGAACATATATATTTATAAATAATTTTTGTTAAATTTTAAATTTTAAATTTTAAAATTTCAAATACTTTTATTTTTTTTTGTTGGAGATAATCAAATCTTGATAAAAGGTACTCCCTCCGTCCCAAACTACATTTAAGTACGCTACATTTAAGTTGGATACAAAATTTTAGGTGAGAAGTATTAAGTAGGATAATTGAGTAATTATGTGATATGATAAAAAAAATGTATATATATTTTTTTTATTAGGGTGATGTGATGGGATAAAGTGTGAAAATATAGATTAAGTATAATTAATTATTTCTTAATTTATAAATATTGTAATGTGTTTGGAACGGAGGACTCCTTGTGAAAGATAATATGAAAGGTAATTAATTTTTATAGTAAAAACTATAAAGACAATTAATTATAAAGGTAAAAAAAATAAATAAATAAAAAATAATGGTAATGGTAATGGATACTGTTAACTAATTAAACAATTATTGTCCGTATTACTATTAAACCGGAAATTTATGGAATATATAAGAAAGGTATACTGTTTTTACGCCGCCTCAAACGAACTCTAGTCCAAACAAGCCTAGCCCATCATCCATTAATATCAACCAATCATTGACAGCTGTAACAAAACAGCATATCATGATATCAGTCCAAATTGCATATCATTTCAAGCTCTCAACAAAGCTTTTAAAATTTCCTGCATTTTCGTAAGCCGAAAAGATTCTCACAATCGCCGCTCCCGAGAGAACCCTAAAATCGAGCGTCAATTGCAAAAGAGGCACCAATTTCTTTATTACGTCTTCACCTTTTTGCACAATTGATTTCCCGATTGCGCGGCATATTCCACACCCTTTCTCCAAAACCAAAAGTTTGTCGAGCTCTGTTCGGGTTCGGCTATCCTCGAAAGGTTTCTTTCTTAATCTGGCTACACCATTAATAATCTTATCAACATCCTGTACAGTAGTTGTCTGAAGATTCTTCTTTATATCGCCTACTTTTTGTGAGATTGAATATTCGCCTGTTCTTCAATATGCGTGAAATGTTATAAGCTTTGGGGAAAAAAGAGTATAACTGCACTTGCTTTGATTGCCTTTTGATCCTTTCATATATAATGCCAGTGTAGAATGTAATTTATAAATCTCTTGTTCTTTTGAATTGTCTGTCCTCTTTTGTCTGTCCTTATTGTCTGTTTTTGGCCCAAACCTTCATCCTGATTGTAATACTTTCTAATTTCTAGGCTTTATCTTATGATTTGTGATATTTGAAATTAGTTTCTGTATTCTGTTTTTTTATTTCAATGATAAGCATGGTATCTTTTTCCTGTATATATATATGCCTTAGTTTTTTTTGGGGCTTGAAGCTTTAGGATTGTGTTCTGTTGAATGCACACACTACTGGTACGAGATTGTCTTATGCCTTGCAAATCCCATTACGAAATCATTTCTTGGATTAGACTTTCAGATTATATAAGTTTTGTTTTGTCGATTCCATTCTAATTATCTAAATTTCCTTAATTTTAGTTATTTTCTAGGATTTTAGTTAATTTAATTCGAAATCCCCCTTCTTTACTTTCAATTTCACTGCACACAGAAGAAATTTCTATCATGCAAATCCATCCCTTTTACTGAATTACATTAAGATACTGGTGGGATTATCTTTAATTTCTAGTAATGTTTTCCAGAGTTAGCTTAAGAAATGGAATATGAAAAGCTTTTGTTCTCTGCATTTACAGAGCTAGTCGATTAATGATGGAATGTCTGATTTTATATGCAGATGGATGCTCAAAATGAACATTCTAGACACGATATTGAGGCGTACACTGACATGGCATCGCCGGAGAAGGGCTATGGAGGGAGCAAGGTATGCGCCGGAGCAGCGTGCGGTTTCTCCGACGCGAACAGCACTTCGAAAGATGCACAAGAGCGTTCAGCTTCAATAAGAAAGCTTTTGATTGCAGTTGTGTTGTGCATAATTTTTATGAGCGTCGAAGTCGTCGGGGGCATAAAAGCCAACAGTCTTGCAATTCTGACCGATGCGGCTCATTTGCTCTCCGATGTTGCTGCCTTTGCGATTTCGTTGTTTTCATTATGGGCCGCAGGATGGGAAGCCAATCCGCGCCAATCTTACGGATTTTTTCGGATCGAGATACTCGGGGCCCTTGTCTCGATTCAGATGATCTGGCTTCTTGCTGGGATTCTCGTTTACGAGGCGATCGTACGTCTCATCCACGATACAGGCGAAGTTCAAGGCTTTCTGATGTTTGTCGTCTCGGCTTTCGGATTGTTGGTCAATGTTATAATGGCGATCTTGCTTGGACACGATCACGGGCATCACGGGCACAGCCACGAACACAGCCACGACCACGGGATTACGGATCACGATCACGGTTCCGACGAGGATCACATATATAGCCACGGAGTGAGCGTCACTCGGCATCATTCCCACAACCAAGTTCATCATCACGAGCACGACGAGCGTCAATCGGTCCTCAACGAGGCGCTACTCGACGCCCCGGCCGATGGAGAATCTAATTCAAAGTGCGGAAATGAAAAGAAGCAACGGAATATTAACGTTCAAGGGGCTTATCTCCACGTGCTCGGAGATTCTATCCAAAGCATCGGAGTCATGATCGGTGGAGCTATCATATGGTACAAACCGGAATGGAAAATCGTCGACTTGATCTGCACTCTAATTTTTTCGGTCATAGTTCTGGCGACGACGATTAGAATGCTGAGGAACATTCTCGAGGTTCTTATGGAGAGCACTCCCCGGGAGATCGACGCGACGAGACTTGAAAAGGGGCTTTGTGAGATGGAGGAGGTCGTCGCCATTCACGAACTTCATATTTGGGCAATTACCGTCGGGAAAGTGTTGTTAGCGTGCCATGTGAAGATTAGGCCCGAAGCCGATGCCGACATGGTTTTGGACAAAGTTGTCGACTACATCAGGAGGGTATACAACATCAGCCATGTAACGATTCAAATCGAGAGGGAATAAAACGGTCTCTTTTCTTCGGATTGAGTCGAGGTTAGTCCTCTTGCTGAAACTAGTTTATTATGGATTGATTGTCCGAAATTCCAATTTAAGAGTGTAGATAGATATCTGTTGGTGCCGTGCCCGTGCCCGTGCCCTTAAGATTTGTTTCGGTTAAGTATGTGGGATTTCAATCATTGCCGTAGACAATATTATGTGGGAGTTCTTATCACTTTGCTTATCTCACTTCAAAGTTTGGGTTAGGTTAGTGGAATATATATCATTGATTACATATTATATAATTATTTTTAAAACAAAAAATTAATAAAATAAAAAATTTAAATGTATATGGCAAATGTCGGTAAGGAGGGACACACTATATTGAAGGTAAGGTAACTAAACGCAATAATAGAGGAACAACATCCGAACTCTGTTAGTTATTTAAAATGTTCCCTAATTATTTTCTATTTAAGATTTTATTATCCGTATACATAAAAAATAATAATAGTGATAATGAAACATATCAAAATGAGTTTTTATAGGTGTTTGCCTTTGGTTTGAGTTTGAACCCTTTATTTGAAATGTAATATAAATAATATCACTTCCGTTCAACTCTAAGAATCTCATATATTTTTTTGCGTATTGATCTTTAATATTAATTATTATATCAAAACGTAGTACAAATAAAAAATTACAAAAATACTTTTATTAATGTCTTATAATACTAATAGAAGAACACTTATAGAAAAAATTATATGATATTATAATATTTTTAATATTAAATATAATGATGTAAAATATAAATATTTAGAGGTGAGAGAATATTATGATACGTGTAAGAGAAAGGCGGTGTTGAGTAGTCGCACGTCAGAAATTTAAAGGGATTGCAACCCTTATAGAGAGGAATGTGATAGTAATGAATTTTGTGATGTAATAGAGGTTGGTGGTATAATTTCAACACTTTTTATTGTATTTTGTACATGTGCTTTTGTTGTTCTATTTTATAAATTAAGAACAGTAAAATTGTATCCAAATGAAATAAATTTACATAAAGTTCAGTAAAATCTCAAATAAAATATAATACTCCAGTAAAAGATTATGGATAAAGGTAAGTATTTCCTTGCTTAGTCATTTACTTTTGTTGTAAATTTGATTGTTTTATTTGAATAAAAAGTTTTGTTGTGCATAATAAGCATTTTGGGTGTATAATATTGGAGATTTGAATATTGAATAAGAAAACTTTCAATTTAAATAAATATAAAAAATCTTCAAAAATGTCCAAGGAAACAAGTCCTTTTTTCGGGTAATAAGGATAATTTTATGTTTTAACATAAATTTGAATGCATTTGATTGGAGGTTTGAATTTTGGATTTGGAATAATAAAATTTTGAATCCCAATGATTGTTTGATTTTATATCAATATATTTTGATGTAATTTTTAAATATAAAAATAAAAATAAATATATGATTTAATAATTTTAGAAAATTTTTAAAAAGGATAATAACAATCCTCCAAAACCCCCAAACAAAATATTGTTTGAATTTTGGGTGCATTTGGTTGCTTGTGTGGAGTTGTTGTACTTGAACGTATGTTTGAACTAATATTTGGTTGTTTATTTACGTTATAATATGTATTTGATGAAAAATGAATTTAGAAAATATTTTAATTGATTTATAAACTATTATATTCCAATTAAATTCATGCCGTGCAACATTATTTTGTAGAGAATTTTTATATATGATACAAAAAAATATATAAATATATTTATTTTTTATATAATTAAAATAAATTAATTTATGTTAATAAATATTTAAATACATATAAATATATTTATTTACTTAGAAATGACTTTAATTTATTTTTTTAAGAAAAAAATAGTTGAGATAAAAATTGACGGGAACACCAACCAAGAAAGTAATTTATCTTATTTCCCAATAATGTGCATAAAGTACCATTTTAGATTTTAGTCCTTGTAAGTTCCGATAATTTCGCCAAAATTTTAACAAATATTCTCTGTGCATTGAAATTTATGCGAAAACTTTTCAGAGCAGGTTTTGAGTGTGATCGAATATTGATTCATTCTTTTTTGGTAGTAATAAGTGCAAAAAAGACATTACGATTTTGCATTATATTAGTCTAAACAGGTTTAGGCATTAAAAAAATAATACTTTCTGTAAACAGCACCAAAAACTTGTGTCTATTGTAATAAAATGTAGAAAATGCATTATCTAAACAGCAGGTTTAGAAATAAAATAATAATAATAATAATAATAAAGTGTTTTAAAAAATGCATTTTTAGTAATACACTACTTGGACGGGTGTGTTTGTTTGGAGGTTTGAATTTTGAGTTGAGATTTGAATAGTAAAAATTTTGAATTTGAATAGTTGTACGATGTGATATAAATAGGTGTTGATGTGATATTTTGAATGTAAAACTGATTTTTAGTATAATATAAAAAATGAAAAATTGACGTTTGATTTGATATTTTTTAGGGGATAAAATTGAATGAACAGTGTAAATCCAATTCAATCCCCCAAGCAAACACACCCGGAGTGTGTTATAAACAGCATAAAAAATGCAAATATTAAATGGCAAAAGATGTGCAATGTTGAAAATGAAAAACAAAGAAGAAAAGAAAATGAAAAAACAACACTAATTGGAGTGTGTTTAATTGCAATTTTAAATTGAAATTAATACTATTCATAAAAAATATCTTTTTTTTTTCCATAAAATATTATATCAAAATATTATTTAAATAAAAATTCAAATTAATATTTTATTTCAAATCAATTTCATACTACAACAAATCAAGAAACGACAGAAGTTATATACTACTTCCGTCTTATAAGAAAGAACCGTTTGCATTTTGCGTCATTGTCTTTAACATTAAAAATATCTTTATATTTGTATAATTTACTCCACAAATGTCATTGTATTTGTATTATAAGAGACTAATAAAGATGTTTTTGTATTTTTTTCTCTTGATTTATACTACGTATTAATATAATACTAATTAATATTCAAATAAAACATCCAAAAAATCTATAGTATTCTTTTTATGGAACGAATGTAATGTAATATTATTTTCATTTATATGAAAGAAAATATAAAAACTTTTTGTTGCATTATTTTTTGTCTTCAAATTTCTTCATTTATTTTGGTGTAGCATTGAATCAACCAAAATTCCACCCCAACCCTACCCAGGCCAAAAAAAAAACCAAAATAGAAGTTAAAAATCGTCTCGTCAAGATAGTCTGACCCTCGACGAACAGCGAATGTGAATTTTCACGTTATAAAAGAAAAATATTGTTTTTTAAATGTAAAATTGATTGGTAATATAATACAAAAATATAAAATATAAAATAATTTATTTGATATTTTTTAAGAAAAATAAAATAAAATGATAGGTAAAAATCTTATAGGAAAGTAAAACAGAACACATTAATTACTAAATTTATATTTTTATGTAGTGTGAGTTGACCATAATATTAGGAGAACAATAAATTATTTTTTCAATAGAAAAATAAGTGTGTTTGATTTATGAAATAATTTGAAATGATAGTTTTTATGTGAGGTATAGAAAATTGTATAAATAATATAAAAATAATGAATATATATGTAATATATTAATTTTTTTAGAAAATGTATAAGAAAAAAAAAATCAGAGAGAGAATATGCTCTTTACATAAATTGAGCAAACACAACGTAATTCCAATAATTGAATGCAAATCATGCTTTCAAAACAAAATTCATTAAGACACGTTCAAAAATTGTTACGAAGGAATGCACAATAAATTGGATTGATATGTGGTATATTAGATGAATATTTTGTTATGTTTTGAGTGATTTTTTGGTGTAAAATTTTATATTTTTAATTGTGTAATAGGTTTTATGAAGTTGACAAAGTTTTGGGCATGTTATGGTGAAAAATGAGCAGAATGCATAAAAGTCTTAGGCGTAATCATGCCTAAGGAAACCGTTGTGTGAAAAAAAAAAAAAGAATAAAAATTACAAAGAAATCATCCGGAGTAAATTAATAATTTAAGGACTGTTGAATATTACTCCCTCCGTCCCAAACACCGTGCAACATTTGTGTTTGACACGGGAATTTAGATGGGGAGTATTAAGTATGGTAATTTGACATAATTTGGATATTAAGTGATGTGATTGGAGAGAGAAATGATTATTTATTTTTTATTTGACTGATGTGATGTGATGGGATAAAGTAAAGTGTATATTAATATATGTATATACATATTATTAATTATTTCTAAATTTGGAAATATTGCAGTGAGTTTGGAACAAAAAAAATGAAATGTTACAGGGTGTTTGGGATAGAGGGAGTATTTTGCAAAGGGGATCTAAAGTTGAGAAATAAATAGGGGTGATGTGCAATTGAAGAAAGGGAAAGAAATGCAGTACCACATTATCACACACGATATCACTCTTGGAAGGGAGAAGGGAGAACACAAGCAAAAAGGCGCCATAAAGCAGTGCAGACGACTTCCGGGCATTCTTCTTTCATTCTCTTGTTCTTCTTTGTCGATTCCCAAATATTGAAGGCATGATAAACTTCTTATTTCGCTTTGTGTTTTCGATTTCCATGGATTGTGAGCAATTTATTTTCTAGCTTAGGTATGAATTGAAATTTGAGATATGAATTTGTGATACTTGGTCTTAATTTATTTATTTTTATAATGTGAGAACCCGCAACCGCTATTCGACAAGTGCGCTCTGGGTAAATCTCCGGTTGACCTAATACCCTGCAAACTAGGCATGACAAGACAAGTCACATTGGGGGAACCATGTGTGGCAGGTGGAGCTGGAGGCGTCGGGGGTTTGAATTTTAATTTAATGTTTATTAGTATTGGGTATTTTTAATTACTTTACTTTGCGAGATTAGAAATCTTAAATTGATATTTGTGGACACGTATTAGTTTGAGATTTCATAGCTATATTGAAGATTGACACCCGTAATTGTGTAATCTTTTCATTGGAGTAGCAACCTAGAGGAAGAATACTCTAGGAAGGAATTAAAATCAATTTTGAACAAATCCTTATAGGAATTTTTTTAAATTGAATTGGGTGTTTCTAGTGTTCAATGTTGTCGAGTCAGTAATACTACGGTTGTACCTAGGATTCTTACTCGATTAGGGAAAAGATAACGGTTGTACCTTAATTATTGATAAAATAAGGAAAAGTTGGTTGTGAACACATGTAGATCAAGTAT